CCCAACCCCCCCCCCCCGTCTACGTTTCGGTGGTGGTTCCTGCACTGAGGAGTGGTTTGGGAGGTCACACTGTGGGTGGGATTGATGCAGGTTTACAGACCAACCTCTGCTCCAACCCGTGGGGGAAGAGTCCTTTTCCCTAGGAAACCTTTAATTTTTAAGAGCGTCCACTCTCTTACATCAAAGAAATAATCTATAACCTTGGTAGATCCTCAGGACGGTGTGCCTGGCTCTGCGGGGGTGGGCTGTAAGGGCTTTGAGAGTGGCCCATGGCTAGCGCTGGGCAGGAGATGCTGGAGCCCTTCAGACCAGGAGCTCACAGGCAGAGGAGTTTGTTGTGGGGTGGGTGCGACGTGCAACTCTTAGGACTGCTTGAGTCATTCCAGAATTAAGTCTGAAGTTTAATTAAACGTGAAGGTGTTTCCCAGCCTACTCATGCTGAAATTTTTCATCTGCCTCCTGCTTCTGGAGGAGCCAGCGAGGGTTGTGCCTGTTGTGGAGACTGTGGGATGTGTGTTTGGGGTGCACCCTTGGGGCTGCTCCATCCCCGTAGATCAGCTATTACAGCCTCCTGGAATGAGGGATTACTTTGCAGGCTGAAATGCTCGTTGTGAAGAGCACAGCTGTGTGCTGACCTTCCTTGGCAGAGGTTGTTACCTTCTCTAAGACGTGGTATTCGCGATAGTCTGGGCCATAACCTGGGGGGAATTCTGTGACAAAACCAGTTTGTGGTCGAGAGGGCCATTTTATTAGACTTGTATTTGCATTATTGAGGTGGCTTCATATTGCAGAAGATGATGCTCAGGTCCTGTGAGTCCCACATCTCTGGAATCACAGCTGTGTGTCCCCTCGCTGGGGTTGGGCTGCTCTGCCTAGTTGGAAGGGACACAATAGCAATGAGATATATGACCCTGGCCTTATCTTGAATAAACGCCTGACCATTGTTTTGCAAAACTCTACTAAATAAGTTTTCATTCCTGTGGATTTCTCATAGCAAAGTGCTTTTTATTTCTTGCTTAATTCATTTTGTCTATTTTCTGCAGCAGAGTGGGGAAGTGTTTAAAGTATCGAGGGCTGAAGGACCTCTCCAGTCCACTTGTCAGAATGAGCACCCTGATGGTGCTGCGCACCTTCATGGATGAGGGCACCGTGCTTGGCCCCGCTCCCTTTTGTCCTTTTATTATATTTTGTTCCAGGGATTGTTGCTGTCTGGGGAGGGTGGAGAGCCTTTCATCCCTACAGAGGTTTCAAGTCTATTAAGAAAGATGTCTCTGTCGTTCTTAAACCAAGACTTAACTTCCTCCACTGCCTGGTTAATTTATTATACCAAAGAGGGATCCCAACAATACCTGATACATTTGGCAGAGGGCTGACAGAGCGATTCCGTGTTGGTTCAAACAGTCTGGTTTTTCCCTCGTACACATGCAGCGTCAGAATCCAAAGTACTTCACTTGATTTCTCTTGTATTGAGTCATCATGTCAAAATATCCCACCTCTTCACCGCTTCTGCCTCTTGACAGCAGATTTCTCAGTGCCCGCATGTCCTGTGGCAATTGAATTAATGCAGCCTGCTGAATCCGAGCCAAGCCTTTCCTCCCTGTTGTTCAGTACAGGGTGTCTTCTCTAGCTGTGGAATGTTTAAGGAGTAATTTTTCTTAGCTCGACTTTGGAGGTGGCTTTGAATCAGTAGCCACCTTGCACAGCGCTGACGCAAAACGCGCTCTCCCCTGACCTTGCTCAGGAACGCTTTCTGTGTGCGTTGGTGAAGCTGTAAATCCAGAAGGAGCCTGCCAAGTGAGTTGTCTGTCAGGGACGACGATTGAATACTTCTTACCCAAAACGAGGGCAGGAGGAGCACTGAGAAGCACTTAAACTCAATACCTGAAGGAGACTGTAGAGTGGGTCCTGATGGCATGTCACGCCACTGAAGCAAGCTGGTTGGCCTTTTTAAAAATCCTGATGCTGTCACAACAATAAAGAAAAAAGCTGCCAAACACCGGTTCGGGCTAGAAGTTGGATTCCTCCTGGTGTGACCAGCATTCAGGCTCATGGCTGAAACGGGAGCGAGCAGTGTTGTCACAGCACAGTTCAGGTTTTTAGTGTTTTTTTACCAATACCAGCTGGGTCAAGGGCTGTAAATGATTCTCCCTGCTCACACAAATGTTTGCTGTACAAACAGGCCTAAAATTGTGAGGAAGTGTTGGCACTCTCGTTTGTTTGTTTTAATTATTCCCCTTGTAATAGCCAGGCGAGCATTCATTCAGTAAATAGGAGGGGCAGAATTCCTTCTCCTGTCTCAGAAACCATCTTGCTGCAGCTCACGCTGCTCTGCGGGAGATGGTGCTGCCTCAGCAGCGTACAGCAGCTGGGTTTAGATGCGATTAAAAGCACAAAGTGCTGATTTGACTGGGTTCCCTTGGAGCTCCGATTATTCAAACTCAGCTTAGGGAAATCTGTCATTACTTCTCGTGATGGTCCATGTGAAAACAAAAGTTTTAGAGGGCAGTAAGCGAGCTGTGCGTCTTCCCAGTGGCTTATGATGTGTTCATTAAGAGCCAAAGCTCCTTCCCTGTGTGGATGGTGGAGCCTACAGATTTGAAAAGTCTTTTTCTGTTCCTGTCTCTTAAATAGCTGCGGGTCAGAGCTCCTCTTGAAGATGTTCCATCACAGGCATCTGTCCTTTCAGTCTCCCTTTGGCAGCTCTCTGAAGTGTTTGCTTCTACCAAACCATCCTAAAATTATTCTTTAAGTAAATATGAGTAAACTGGAGGGAGGAGGGAGGGCAAGGAGGCACACCTTGTTCTGTGGTTAGTTCATTTTCCTCTGGTGAAAGTAGCATTTTTGCTTACTAAAGCCAAATTTTTGCTACTGCTCTCTTCTCTCAGGAGATTGTGTCTCAGCATGGCCTTGTCTGGTTTAAAAAAAACAACCTGTTTGCCAGTTGAACCCAACCAGGGTAATATTATGAAAAAATCTTCCAGGTGAGACTTGAGTTTCTCACCTCATTCGGTATTGGTGGTGTTGGCAAAGCAGATGGTTGTTGTGTCTGTGATGGGGAAACACCAGGCCTGGAGTAACCAAGAGTGCAGAAAGGAAACTTCTTTTTTGGGGTTGGTTTTTTTTTTTTTGAGTTTGGTGGGTTTTGAGGCTTTTAGCTGCAAATACGGTCATGTCAAGCAGTTTGAACACTGGTAAACTTACTTCCAATTTGGTTTTCAGTTTTATCTATGCACTTTGAGATGTGATAGTGACTCTGAAATCAGGGTGTCCAGCAAAACCGGCAGAGAAGCAGCTCTTCTTGCACCTCTCCATGCCCTGCATCTGGGGCAAAACTGGGCTTTCCAGTGATGGACTGAAGCTTGAATTGTCCAGATTTCTCAGACATGAAATGGGCTGTGAGTGGCAAAATCGATATATGTGCTAGGGAAATGTTCAAATTTAATGTGTTTGGCGTTCCTGGCCATGGAGCAGAACCTGCTGTGGGTCAGATGTTACTGACAGCTGGCTTTTTCAGATTAAATCAGTGAGTTTTGATTTCTCCTCCACCTGCTGTTTTTCCCCAGAAGCTGGATATAAAGCATTTTCTTTCAGGCTATCTTCATGTTAGGAGACCTTTAGGTGTTTTTTCTGGCTGCCTTGTTTGCGGTGCTGTCGTGCTCCTGTCCAGGCACTGCTCCACTTCTCTCCAGAGCTCCTTCTTTCCAAGAGCATTTCACCCTTAGCATCACTTTCTGCCTAAACATGAGCTAGGAGTCTTCAGTTATTTCCACTCTCAGCACTGCTGTTGATTTTGCCTTATTGGTAGAAATTAATTAGCTACTTACTAAGTTCACTGGATGAGAAAAGCTCTGCGTTAAAGGTTTGGGGCCTCATTGCTTTGGTTTTCTGCACACAATAGCACAGCAGAACCTTTCCCACTTATTTTACAGTGGATTTGCAGTCTTTTGTTTCTACACGTGTGTGCTCAAAGCATTTTGGACCTCACAAATAATTGCTGCAAAATGAGAAGAACTTCAGTTCACTAGTGAGTGAAGGTATTTGGGGGTGTTTAGTCCCTGATCTGCTTTTTAATTGCAGAAAAGCAGCTACTCAGTATTTGTGCTCTTCCTGAGCATTGTGTTTTGAAGACAAATACCCTCTCAAGATGAAAGCTGCTTGGGCAGCTTTATTTTCTGGAGTTTGCCTCTCACTTTAGGCCAGGGTACAAGTGTTCTCTGGGGACACATCAGCGGCTTGCTGGAAGCCTGTGGACTGCATCACACCATAAAACAGGGAAGCAATACTCATCCTGTTCCTTCATTGATAAATTTGAGGTCCTTAGAGCTCCTGCTCACTGCAATCAGAGCCAGAGGAGAACTGAGTGCCAGGCTGGCACCTCCAGCAATCTTGGCTAATCCTCTGTCAAAAGAGCAAAGGTTTGTGCCTTTCCAAATCCTCAAAGAGTGAAGTTGATGTGAGCTCCTCTTACTGTGCTGCTTCTAATCTGGTTTTGAATCACTCAAATGCCATATTTCCATGACGAACTTCAAGACTTCTCATTAGAAAAGTCTGAAAAAATAACACAAGCCTGGCAAGTTAAAATAGTTCCAAGCTGTGGAG